CACAACAATTCTTGTATTAAAATGTATATTTATATGTTATTTGTCATACAATTTTGTCCTTTAAAACAAACAGATATATGAACTGTTTTACCTGTGTACCTTTAAAAATGCAAGTACATGCACAGACGACATGAGTAGTTATAGCAAATAAACAAATGTAAATATCCCGCTGGCTTTCTTAATGTCATCCAGCGATTTCTTAGACCCCTGTGATTGGTCACGCGCTCAACAGAAAATGCTGTGATTGGCTCTAAAGTGCTGTGCTGTTCACCGATGAGTTACACTGACAAACAGCAGCGGCGATCACAGCTGATCCATGATAGACGCGGAGGAGAAAACTCGCTCTGCAGACACGCGCTCATGTCTGTATCTAGAAGTATCGCTATAACAGCCAAGAGGAGAGGATAAGTTACCTCAGAAGGTCAAATGTCCACAGTAAGTGAGAGACAGAGAGTGACAAGCAGAAATGGAGTTTACTTTCATTTTCTCAATCGCAGTGAAATAGAGGCTTCTGCTGTAACTTCAGTGTCAGTGAAAGACTGTCTAGCAAAAACGCACGCAGTGAATTGTGCAGAGATTTGCACTAAGTAGTTGGAGTGTTTTAATTACTCGCACTCGCCTACCGTGCCACAGTAAGCAACCACAACATAGCGCATGAGTTAAATGAAATCAGTACGTAATAACCGGTTCAGATCTATAACTGAACCAATACCGATTTGTGCGTGTCTACATCGCGGTGCACCAAAGAGATTATTAATTCTGACACCCCTATTAATTTGTTCTTAATATGAATAAATTTGGGTTCAAAACAAGATGATGATGAGTAAATGATGACAGAACAAACCCTTTAAAACAAATACAATTAAAATTGTATAACACTAAGTTGAATTTTTCTTCCACTTGGAAATTTTCTAAAGCTACATTTGGTGTCTGTATTACATGTGGTTTTTAACATGTTTTGTCTGTAAGGGATTAAAACAACCATAATAATATTTTGTTTACATTTTTATGCAAATTGACAATCATTGTTAACCATTTGATTTAACTACTATTCAGTCAGATTTTGCCAGCATAATCTGGTGGCCTTTTTTAAAGCTGAGTGGCTTCTAAAAATGGCCCACAGATGATCATTTCATGTTTATATCAATGCGAATGTGACTGAAAGTGATGATGTCCGGGCAGATGAATTTTTTAATTCGTAATTAGCCTGTCTTTTTACGCCAGTTTGATCCATTCAAGGGGATTTGCAGACCGCTTTGGCGGCCATGATCTAGCGTGACAAATGAGGCCGTCCTACAATACAACAGGTCTTAATGACCTCGAAATAACTGCAGCCAGCACTCTCAAATGTGTGTTGCCATAAGTCAAGTTGCTGACAATGATAATATCGCTGACTGTTTATACAGAAGACACCTGGCATTCACTACATGACTGTCAGGAGTCTCGAGTGGAGATCTGTCAGGGGGCTGTCCGTCAACACCCCCGATCAGCAGCAGTCGCTAACGCCACTGTGTGTTTCTACAGCACAGAGCAGATGGGTCTGAAGTTCTGTCCTCGGCCCTCAGGTGAAATTATTCAAGCCAATGAAGAATGATGAAATTCGTTTTGTCCCGCAGGCAACGTTCACTGCCCTATTTAGGCTGACCAGTTTGTAGGCTAATGGTCAAGTTGCTGTAAAGTCTGTTAAAGATGACAAATCCCGAAATGGCTAGAAGCAGAGTCTTCCTTTTTTTAAAATGGCAAGGAATCTAGGATAAAACGAAGATGCTGAACCAAGTATTGCATATGCGTATCACACAAACCATACACCTTATGATACATTTTAATGAGGATGCATACGGATAAAAACTTTATAGCTAATAAAATTCCTCCTTTTTTCGTTTGGCAGTCTGCTTGCTTCAGCATTGCAGCCTTTTGGACCGTTCTCCAGCCTAAAATCTAGTGTTTAAATATACAGACATACAAAATGTAATCAAATATTTCAGTTGCTGGGTAATGGTGTTCTGTGATGCTAACTATCCCGTCTAATCCATCTCCAAATGCAATGTACAATTATTTGCATCTTTAATATTTAAACAGGTCAATTATAGCTTTAAACTGAAAATTCAGCCCTCATCAACCTATAAATTCAAGCAGGTTAAGCAATTTTGCTTCATTCATTTTTAAAAAGATATAAATGTCCTTATATTAAATGTTTTTTTTTTTACATAAACACAATTTATTCTATTAATCATAGTAGTATACTGCTACTACTACTACCATCTTTTAATAAACCAAGCAAATATTTGACTTTGTTATAAGAATAAATGCATTTACATGTATTAATTTTGCAGATCTAAAGTGAAAAAAATAAAGAATACAACAAGCAATTCATCACGAAGAGGCAAATAAGCATACGAAAATGCTTGTATTGCAAAGTTTCACACATCTTTTAGGACAGTACAAGCTAGACCTGGGGGGAATAAGAAATTAAAAGCATTGAGGAATTAATATTATCATAATTAATATTATTATTACTATTACTGGGATGTAATTAAGTGATCACAGAACAGATGAGTTGTATTTTGTGAAGGGATTCTGTATTTCGAATGAGGTTAGGAAGATAATTTCTCCAACGAGGAACAGTGAACACAAATGTATTCTCATCTCCTCTGGGGCATCGATAGATTACTGCCTGATTTCAATAGAAGCCTATATATCAATTTCATCAGCTACGGTAAATATTATTTTCTACAGCTCATTAGAATAGTTTCGCTTAAAGGGTCATTCGGATAAACTGAGAATATCAAATGCATATTGAAGGAAATGAAGCATTTGCAGTTTCCACAATTGCCAGCCTCCTTTTGAAGTTTCCTCGTCTTTCCTCTTAGCTCAATGGAAACCTGCCTTACAACTTCCCTTATTCCCCTGAAATTGATAGATGTGACTGAGACTAATTGTAAAAGAAAAATGATGGCTAATCCTTTTCTTCTCTACCGAGGCTATGAATTTGAACACTTCTATTGACAAGGGATGTAAATCCATTAAGTATAACCAATAGGATATTAGAGTAATTTCTTAATGAAGCCGTGGTGGTTTTTCTTTCTCGCCTTCTTTTACGTTCCCTCTGTTCTCTCACTCACTGTATCACCTCCACGCCTGTGGTCTTATCTGCAATGTCATCGGGAGTCTAATCTGCTTTTGTTTTCTGTAAGACTGTTGCGTGTGTGTTTTTTTTTCTTTCTTTCTTTTAAATCTGTCGGAAGATAACAGTAATTTTCTTTACCCCTCTGGCATCAAAGCAAAGTGTTTCCAGACTTCCTGCAAAGTGGGAATGAATGAATAAATGATAACAATGCTGTTTTAGTAGACTCGTGTAGCCATTTCTCTTCGTCTCCCTCCCTCTTCTTGCTTTCCTAGCTATTCCTTCTTCTTTTGTCGCCTGGTTTCTGTTATATCACTGATCTCGTGCACTAGAAGAAGAAACCAGGCTAAACGGCCTTCAGCGCGGTCATAACCTCATAGCCAGATCACTGCATCATATCCTTGTCTTGCTCATCCCTGCCATGAAGCCATGAGTTCCTGGACTCATCTCCTGTGCACAGCACTAAGCACACATCAAAACCACCCTGTCAACGGCTGCTGTCATTTACACAACCGGACCTCCGCTGTTGGCCGGAGACCGGGGTGATATTACAGTATCACTGTTAAAAAAAGATACTTTGGGCCTTTGCGGCTTGTGGCTGAAGCTGAAGAAGCAGAGATCATGTTGTAACATTGTTTTTTTGTGTCTAAAAGGAGTTCAAATCAAACAGAAACCATCAAACCTGTGCAAAGCGGTTACAGTAGTAAACTGCAAGTAAGCCTCAGGTTTAGATGATATCAGCGCTTGCTGGAAACATAATCAAATTATCCCACGTATTTAACAAACAAATATGCAAGGTGGGACATTTCTAGAATTATATGAATGACACAGATTCAGATTTCAAGGAAATCTGCAGATTTCTTGTGGGCCTGGTTTCCCCCTCCCATCCTCTCTCTCTCTTCGCCGCTCTGCTGTCCAGGCCTTCGGAGTATCTAAATTATCTATAACATCACACAGGAAAACACAGGCAAAAGAAAGAGCAGTGCGAGGAACCCTGGGATACTGGTGACGCTCTGTGCCAGCCCTTAAGATTCAGCTCCCACACAGATAGAGGGAAGCTCTCAGCAGCCCGACAGCCAGGAAACGTCATCACCGGCTCCGTCACATTGTGGGGGGAATTAATCGCCCCCTCATATGGCTTTTACTGATGCCGTTATATGCTGTCAGTGAACGACGGAAGAGGATTCCAGTGATGGTTCCATATGGATGTATTAATATTTGCATAATTATGGTCCTGTGCCTAAGAGAAGCCCATGTAAGCCAGCCTTTGAAGACTGTGGGGAGGGGTGGGGTTTGGAGGGGAAGGAACACTGATAAGGGGTTGAAGAGGAGGGAAGCAGCTTCATATGTACATCTCCCATCCTTCCCTATTGAATGACACATGCATGTGCAGATTAAACATGTACAGTAGGAAATATGGAAGTTGAGGATAGAATTACATAAGTGACAGAGTCCAAGTGAGTCCAAATCCTTGCATTGTTGCACACACATACACATACAGTAGCTATATATTTATGCACATCTGAAAATGCCAGGTCACGATGCTATATGCCACGAATAAATGAAGATTGCTGAGAGGTTTTTTGCACGACGGTATCGGACAGACGTGCAGACCTTTTACAACACATAAGCGCGCGCGCGCAAACAGACAGATATAACATGGATAACCTGAAGACAACAATCCGTGGAGTGCCTGCACCGTTTAAAGCAATGCAGATCTCAAACGGAACGACTGTCTACATCATATACACACACGCTTTCTCTATCGAGCTCACATTCACCCAAATATTAATTTTCACATGCGACGCGTTACAACAGCAACATCGTAACATCCGCCCAGCACACCCAAAGACAGATAAAGGCTGAAATACCGCACCTGGGACAGACGGATGCCAAAGGGTAGACCGAGAGGGACAGAGGAGGTGTCTCTCCGCTCCCCTCTTCCTCTTCTCTTTCTGTGTTTTCGCCTGTCTTCACAGCCTCGTTTTTTTTCTCTCTATTTCACTCTCTGCCCTCCCTCCCTTCTCCCTCCTTCGCCTTGTGCACGGAATACTAAACGAACCTCGTCGCCGCTCACGGGCTCCAGCGCGCGTGCAGTGCTAAACACATACTGATGTATTGGTGTGTGTGTGTGTGTGTGTGTGTGTGTGAGAGAGAGAGAGAGAGAGAGAGAGAGAGAGAGAGAGAGAGAGAGAGAGAGAGAGAGTTGTAGGTGGGTGGAGTAAGGGTGCTCAGACCTCCCAAATTTAGTAAAAGTTATTTTTTATTCATACAAGACGATTATCTAAACGGTTTCAGTAATATTTTCATGAAAGTTTGATTATATGCTAGTGGTGACCATTTTGATTTATGGTAATGTTGTTACTCTTACTGCATTCACCAAAAGTATTAACGACATTAAGCTAATTAGTTCAGTCACTCTTGCTGCAAGTACCACATTGCTGCGTCAGTATAGGTGGCGACAAGTTTTCATTTATTAATTTCCTTTTTGGCTTAGTCCCTTTATTAATAAGGGGTCACCACAGCGGAATGAACCGCCAACTTATTCAGCATATGTTTTATACAGCGGATACCCTTCCAGCTGCATTCACGCATATACAGCCTGGACAATTTAGTTTATTCAGCTTACCTACCGCATGAGTTTTGGCTGTGGGGTATACCAAAGCAACCAGAAGAAACCCACGCGAACATGGGGAGAACATGCAAACTTCACACAAAAATGCCAACTGACCCAAGCTCGAACCAGTGACCTTCTTGCTGTGAGGCAATTTTGCTACCCACTTCTTCACCGTGACGCCTCTACTACTCTCTTATCAATGTTTTACGAAGAATCCCCCGTCCACCCCATCTCCCCCTTTTCTTCTTTAACAGGGGAAGCAACTAGCAGAACTACCTGATCTTGTACTCCCCTTACATGCTCATCAACCAGGCAGGAGCCCTGGGCTCAATCGTCACCAAGTTCAGGGGTCTCTCCCGGGACAGCATTCCAAACCTGCTATTATTATCAAGCAATATCTAAGTGTGAGCTCTTGAAACAAATGGAGTCATGTAACTTTAAAACAAAACCTGCATTACATTTTTGTTGATCAATATACTGAGAAACTACAGAAAGAACGCACAAACATTTTCAAAGCACAACAATGAAATTGTTAAAACAAAGATGATAGCCAAATAAGTCATGCGTTTCAGTACTTACTCCCAGGGCTGTTTATATCAAGGTTGATTATTGACCACACGGTGTTGGTGTTTCGTAACATCTTATTTTTACAAGGTGGGTCGTAAGCCCAACGCTCAACCCCCATCCTTGAGGACCAAAACAAACATAAGCTACACATACGATAAACCGATAAACGATATCATATCAAATCGCAATTAGATTGATGTCAATAACAATGATAATAATGAACCGCCAACTTAGCCAGCATATGTTTACACAGCGGATGCCCTTCCAGCTGCAACCCAACACTTGGAAACAACCATACACTCTCATTCACACACATACAGTACGGACAATTTAGCTTACCCAATTTATCTATAGCAAATGTCTATGGACTTGTGCGGAAAACCGGAGCACCTAGAGAAAACCCAAACAAACACAGGGAGAAAATGCAAACTCCATACAAAAATGCTAACTGTCCCAGCCGGGACTCGAACCAGCGATCATTTTGCTGTGAGGCCACAGCGCTTCCCATTGCACCACCATGCCACCTGCTTTTCAGTAATATATGCATATTTTGCACAGCCATAAGCTATTTTAGCTACCTTTAACAGCAAATTATACAAGATATTCATATATACTCTTAAAACTCAGTTTTAGAGAAGGGGGTTTCGTACTATCAGTTGACTAAATACCTTTAACTGGACAGTGTGTCAGATGAGTATGGCATCCAAATTCACAGTATTTGAAAAAGGGAAAACAAGAAGTACCCGGATGACATAACCTACTACTTCTGCTGAGGTTCTGAAGTGTGCATTTGATGGACACTTTACTATCCCATTAGGCCACAGGAGGGAAATTACTGGAGATGCAACTGACACAAGTAGGTCATGTGATAATGAAAATATGGTGGATGTAGTTTGTCCGAATCCCATTCTTACTACTCTCAATTCTGTACCTCCTAAGACATACAGTAACATGATTTAAGATGCACTGCATGTTTTTCTTTGTGTGAAGAACATTTAAATAGTCCAAAGAGGCTTTTTCCACAATAAAGAACCAAATATTTCATGATTTCTTCATTAAACTATTGATGTCAATAAATTACCATTATTTTTAAAAGTGTGTTGAACTCAGTTGCATACCCCATAATCTATTTAACAAAGGTCTCCTTTTGTTCTATGTTGTAAAAGATTTGTAAAAATATATTTTTAAAGATAATTATATAGTGAGATCATTCAGCTGGTTTTCCTGAGTAGCTAGTGGATGATAAACACTAAGAAAAGCAAGAGCACCCAAGTTTAAGCTGTAATAATAACATATACTGTAAATAGATTCTGCAAAGTTTTTAGTGTTTTTGTGTTCGTTAAAAAAGTTATTTAGAATATGTTTTTGCAGCCTTAAGCAATGCAGCCAATCACATCTTGAATGCAAAAAACCAAACAGAGGTGTTCAAGTTGAAATCCACTCAGCACTCAGTTTTTGGTCAGTGCTGAGTGATGATTGTAAATCTAATAGACTGCAGATGCAAAAAAAAAAAAAATGTGAGAACACAATGAACTAAGATGAGTGACAGCTTTTTAATAATTATGAAGGGAGTGCACTTTACAGGTCACATAAAATCCATTCAGCATTGCAAAACTGCAGTGACTGCATCAATTAGCAAGACAAAAATATAATGTCAAAATAGAGCACCTTTACTGATTTCAGAAACACGCTCAGTGATTGTATTGAACAGGCTTGAAATACTATTGTTCATTTACTTTTTTTAAAGACAGAAAAACAATCAAAATAGGCAACGCGGTGGCGCAGTAGGTAGTGCTGTCGCCTCACAGCAAGAAGGTCGCTGGTTCGAGCCTCGACTGGGTCAGTTGGCGTTTCTGTGTGGAGTTTGCATGTTCTCCCCGTGTTTGTGTGGGTTTCTCCGGGTGCTCCGATTTCCCCTACAAGTCTGAAGACATCCGGTAAAGGTGAATTGGGTAGGCTAAATTGCTAAACATGTGTGTATGGATGTTTACTAGAGATGGGTTGCAGCTGGAAGGGCATCCGCAGCATAAAACATATGCTGGATAAGTTGGCGGTTCATTCCACTGTGGCGACCCCAGATTGATAAAGGGACTAAGCTAAAAAGAAAATGAATGAATGAATGAATGAACAGTCAAAATAATACCACAAAAAACAACATTTTACTGCATTCACAAATGCTCTCCTGTGGCCTCATGGAGTCACTACAATGGAATGAACTGCTGGTTAGTTTAGCTAAAATAGTTTTCTCAAAATTATACTTGAGCAAATACCTGTATATGTTACATTACTACAAATGTGGCCATCTACAGTATAAACTGTATATAGTTTCAAAATATCTGTAAAAAGTCATTTAAAAGCATTTAAAAAATACATTTGCTTAATTATCTTCTAAGAAATTATATTAATTTTTACCATTGGAAAAAATATAGAGCACCTACTTTACCATTTTTTCAAGATTTAAGATGAGCTCAAAACACCCACATGATTATTTATTGTAGCTTTTCAGAAGTTAGTAATTTTCAGATCTGAGCATCTTGCTTGCATCTAGCTGCCTTTAATGCTAGTTCTCCCCACTGTTCCCAACTGCCTGTCAGAGTGTGCCTCAATTTCCGTCTTGGCTGTGTCAGATAAACAGCACAGTGACAGACATGAAGCAGATGTAACGTTTGTGAGAAATACTACAATAAGAACTCTACCAATGATTATTTGATGTATTTGTTGTGGAGTTAATGAGTCGATAAGAACGATGAGTCACACACAATGTTGTTACAAAGTTCACACAGACACACACAGCACTTAAGTTTAACTTTACAGTGTTTTTGCATGCACTCACAGCAAGAAGGTCGCTGGGTCGCTAGTTCGAACCTTGGCTCAGTTGGCGTTTCTGTGTGGAGTTTGCATGTTCTCCCTGCTTTCGCGTGGGTTTCCTCCGGGTGCTCCGGTTTCCCCCACAGTCCAAAGACATTAGGTACAGGTGAATTGGGTAGGCTAAATTGTCCATAGTGTATGAGTGTGTGTGTGTGAATGTGTGTGTGAATGTTTCCCAAAAGATGGGTTGTGGCTGGAAGGGCATCCGCTGCGTAAAAACTTGCTAGATAAGTTGGCGGTTCATTCCGCTGTGGCAACCCCGGATTAATAAAAGGACTAAGCCAACAAGAAAATGAATGAATGAATTAATTAATTAATTAATGTTTTTGCATGCAAATGTGACAGGACACATTAATATTTACTGCTTTATGGATATCTGTTATGTTAATGAACAAAATAAACCTTTGATTACTGTACTGACACCCGGCTGTGGTGATAAAGTAAAGACGGTAAAATTGCTGTAATTCATTACAAACATACACTGATTTAAACTTGTGAACTCATTCTTGAGCACATGTTATGATGATTGATGATCACAGAGAGCTGAACAGATCTATTAATCCTGGTTGCTTTGTGCACGTCCTGTCTTGTTGATATGATTATACGCTTTACTATGGAGACATGTTAATATGCAGCTGTCAATCAATTCGGTGGGCAGGAAAACTGCACTCCTATTTCACATTGCGGTCGGCCTCAAATTTACTGGGATTTGGATCCTAATTTAACGTCACGAAATTAAAAAAAAAAAAAGACTTTTTGTCTTCATATCACGCCAGTATGACTGGGCACACTATACCTACACACAGTTCAGTCCAAACAGCTCACAAAAGATGATTTTCATCATAGGTGCCCTTTAACGGTGAAACATTAAAAGCAAAAAACACACTTTTTAGAATACAATTATTATAGCCTACAGTTTTAAATCTTTATTCGAATGTGTCTGTATTTTGGTTTTGAAACCTTTGTTTGAAAGACATTGGGCCGTATGGATTAATCTTTGACATAGACCTATCCCCCCCTCCCCACTCCCCCCAATTTTAGCCAC